GTTAGGCTCCAAGTATTTTACGGTAAATTATCGCTCTTTTTGTTCCCCATTTCATATTTCAGTTACTCATATGTTAAGGATGATGTTTTGTGGTGAGATTTAGTGTTCAGAATTGCTGAATGAAGTTGCATATTAACACTGAATTTCTGACAGCCATCTGTTTTTGACTGTAGGTTAGCTGTGGACTCATTGTGGTTGCCTATAAGAATGGCTTCCCTGCGCATCCGCACTTCATGGATCCCAATCTGTGCTCGCAGTACTGGAAGAAGTGGCTTTTGCGCCTCGAAGAGTACATGGACAGAAACTGACCCAAACGAAGCTGTGCAGAGGCAAGTGGTCTGAGCACAGAGCCAAAGCAAGAATCTTTTGTTTAAATCTTCCATTTGAATACATATTCTTCTTTGAGTGACTTTGCCTAATTTCTTAATATCGAGGTCTTTTCCTGCCCTTCAAAAAAAAAGAAAGAAAAATTGGAGTGGGGAATATGTATTTGCTTACGTTGTAGGTGACTTAAGTGGACCTGGCAGGACAAAGCTGACTTAATCTCTGTTTTTCCCCACAAGAATTTATACAACCTGAGATTGATAGGAAAGTTTCTATTATAAAATAAAACTGTTCAACCAAAACATCGTTCTTTTGTCACTTGAGAAAAAAAAAATGTTGCAGAACTGAGACTTTGAAAACTGAGTTGGTGAACTAAAGCAATGACATCTGCATTGTCTGAGCTGAGAGAAATGCAAACGATAAACAAATGAATGTAGTAGACCGGGTTTCAGCCAGCTTAGTTCTTTCTCATCGCAAAGGTATCTATTAACAGGCTTGTTACTGTTTGTGGGTTTTCTTACAGCAACTGGAAAAACTGTACTAAGAATTAAAACCAAAGTTCTCGTAAGCACTTATTTAAAATACTAAGGCAAGGTGATCATTTGAAAAAAAAAAAAGTAGCATAGCAAAAGAGGAGCAGAATTTGAACCGATATACTTAGAAATTTCCAGCAAGTGTTCTGAAAGGTAGGAGGTTTGTCTGCTGCTGCTGGCTCCTCCTGCAGGTTTCTTAATGGCCCACGTAAAGGAACTGTGAGAGTGTAAACGGGCTTTGTACCTTGGATTGTGGGGTTCTGTGCAGGCCAGGTCTGCAGCGGTCTTGAGCTCCCCTGGCTTCGCTGTGGGTCTGACCCAACAAGGAGCTGACACACGTGGAACGATCTCCACCATCAAGTTATAGCGTGTGCTGGTGCGAGTGAGTTTCTTCATAAAAGCAGGCTTGTGACTTTGAAGCCAGACCTTCTGAGGAATGGAGAGGTGCTGACTGAGTTTTTGGGGGTGTAGGGTTTTTTTTTTTCAATTAAGTTTGTGAATGAATGTTCTAAAATGGAAGAGTTATTTTTGAAACTTATTTCTCTGTCTGTAGTGTTGATTTTATGAATAAGCCTTGATGATGTCAGGCGGTATCACTTTGTGTGTTGCACACATGGGAAGCTTTTTTTCCTCATTCTCTTTGTTTTCTCTGAATTGTATGTATGAGTTTGCGTAATACCACTGCAGATTATAAATAAAACTACAACCAGCCCATAAGCTTCAAGAAAATCAGCTGGAACTGTACCGAAAAAAAAACAAAGGGCAGGCTTGCTGCTGAAGAAACTTAAACCTTTGCAGTGCTTAATCTTCTGCTCCTCCAGGGTACTGAACTGTGGAAACCAGTGCAATGAAACCTAGTTACAGTGGTACTTCCTTATTCAGACCTCATCTGGTGATGTTATGATTACTCTGTGCTTAATTAGATTTCTATCTAAAAAGACAAACCATGGAGTCAGAGAAACTGGGTTCAGAGATGACTAACCACGACGACGCTGCGTGAGTGCTCAGAAGTCCTACCTGTTTTACAAGTATCTTCCCACATCACAGAATTTTAGCAAGTGGGTGGTTTGACATCACTGAACACAGTCAATTTTCCGTGGAAGATAGCTCCGTGGATCCAAAGAGGGTGGGCATAAGCAGGAGGCAAGATGCCCTGGGCAGAAGCAGGAGGTGATAAAACGTGCTGAACTCCCTGTGTAGACTGGTGTAGGATAAGCAGAGAGCGTGGAACTGTTGGGCAATGTTTGGGTGGGATTGCCGCCTTCATCACTGCGTCATACAGCCACATTAGATGTCTCTGACCCACGTCAGATATCCGCCTCATCCTGCCTCCCAGTGAATGAGGACAGGGCTGGAGCCTGGGCAGTGGGGGGGTACCTTGTTGGCTTCACCAGGGTTCATTTGTTTAACAAAAGCCTCGTGTCTGAGGGAGGCTGCCAGCTGCGCTGGCGATGTCAGTCTGTAAACCTGCCTTGAAGTCTGGGATGAGTCCGACCGTCAGAGAGCCAGGAGGAGGCAGGCAGGCAGCCTTCAGAGGCAACAGCGGTGGAAGCTACTGGTGCCTGGCACTGCTGAAAGTCTGGCTGCTTCAGGCATCCCTGATGAACATTTCTGTAGAGGCACAAGCTAGTGCCAGATTTGTCCCATAACAGAACGGGCAGGTGGCTGTTGCCCGTGTCATGCAAACTTGAATTCATTCAAACTCAAAGTAACTTGCCAGACTGTTAAATTGACGTGCTCAAGGCGTCTGCTGCAGGCCGTATCTGTCCTCTGCAGGAAAAACAGCCAGGCAATCATCAGGGCCGTTACTCCAGCTACAACGTCCAGCTTGCCAGAGCTTTGCTCTCCCTTCGGAGTGGTTTTCTTCTTCCGTGTACTGTTGCCTGCCTCTTTTCGCTGTTGCCGTGAACGCTTTCTGTGACTGAGACCATGTGGACAGGCCACCTCAAGGTGCCTGCAGTTCTTTCGGCAGGGACATCCCTTGGCAGCGATATTGGAGGGAAAGCAAAAGCTACATGTGCTGCAGGAGAGCGAAGAAGAAAAAAACCCCACATGCTTGCATGCACAGACACAGACATGCAGAAGGTGTCTGCGGCTAGGCAGGGAGGGTTTCAGCGGCACCTCCCCTGCCGCAGAGCCAGGGCTGAGGCTTCAGCAGAGCTAAGCGCACGCAGCCGTTGCAGTTGGGTGAAGGCCAGGCGCGTTGCTCAGGTGGACTCGGCTGAACGGTCCCACCGAGGAGCTGAGCGCGACAGTTCCGTTTGACAACAGAGACCCGGCTGAGCGGCTGCAGGGGAGCGTCTCCAGCACCGTGGGCTGGGCTGGCTGCTAACGCTTGTCGTAGCCAGGCGGTGCTGTCCATCTATGTGTGAGCACACAAGCTTCGCTCAGCGTGAGCGAGCTTCCATTTACACTGTTCAGTTAGAAGGGCAGGATCTCAGGAGAGCGGGGGATCAGTGCGTAAGCTTTAGCTCTTTTTGCAAAGTAAGGATCTTCTCATTTACCTCAGCTGCTTTTTTTCCCCATGCACTTCCCATTAATTAAAGTATTCTGCGAACCTTCTCGTTACATAGGATGACAAGTTTGTTCTTTACACAGTAGCATCACTTTATTACCCTCGTTTCCACGGTCCCAAGCACCGATGGTTGTGCTGAACAAAGCATTAATATCATTAGAAATCCTTTAAAAAACACCAAGAAGCTTTTCCCCACAAAAACCCAAGCAGATGCCTGTACAAAACTGAGGCAAATTGAGGAGATTTTTACGATTCTTGCAGAGATGCTCAGAATCCATCGTTTTAGTAGTAATGATTATGAAGGTCCCGGCTGTGACTCTACTTTAGGTGGGTCACTTTTCAGCTGTTGTTTCAACGTATATAGAATACAGCTTATCCTCCCAAACGGACAGCTTTATTTTGAGCACGAAATGAATTTTTGGAATTTACAAATTAAATCTGTTAATTGCCATACATTTAAATTGATGCAAAACCTGTTTAGCATCAGTTTTAGCGTCCATTAAGGTAGGAGACAGATGCATAATGTGAGCTTGGACCCAAGTAACTTGTGGTTGCTGAGGAAGTTACCACCCCACCCTGTTGCTCCCAGTACGGATGCCCAGGTGCCCAGTAAGGGCCGCAGCAGCTTCTGAAGGGTCTCAAAGTATCAGGCGGTTTCAGCCACATGAGTTAGATGGGCGTCTCTCTCCCCCCCTTTTTTTTTAAATCCCTAAATTCACACCCAATAGTCCCTACAGCGCTACCCTCTTGGTTATCCTGCGTCACCAGGAGCTGGAGCAAGGCTGTCAGGGGAGTCCTAAATGCACAAGAGAGGCAGTACCTGTCCCTCGTCACCACCACCTCCTTCCCTAGTGACACCAGTCTCACTAGGAGCCTTCTGAACTGACACTGGTTACAGAGGAGGGGCCGGAGTTGTGCCTGCAGTTTTGCACTGATCTGACGAGGCAGCGACAGGCTAAGTCTCCCTCTTCACGGCGTTGCACTGCCCTGTCGTATTAGCAAACAGGCGCTTGGCTGTTGAAAAAAAAAAAACAACCCCAAAACGAACACACACACACACACACGCACCATAAAATACGCACAAAATTGCATTTCATCGTGACAGAAAAATACATATCTTCAAGTCATTAAAGTGTTTTCTTTGGGTTTCTGGGTTGGTACCGTTGTGTGTGTTAAAGGGATGTGGTAGTAATCCCCAAAGTGAGCGTGACAAGTCCAGGAACGTCAGAGTTAAATTTACACCTCAATCGAAACACGATAAAATAAGTTCACAGCTTCAAGTACCTAAAACATGACGATAAGTCTGCCCTGGAATAATGCCGTTCGCTAGTAGAGAAAGTTTGGGAGAAAAAAGTTCTGCGTCCTTTAAAACAACGTTTTAGCTCACCTTGGATCACGCTTCCAGAAACCATTAGTTTACTGCGCAGGGGGCAGAGTTACGGTGATCTAACTTCTTTATCAATACAACGTACTCCTGTTCTCAAGACCATTTTAATTAATTTTGCATAGGACTATGTACTAGTAGCTGCTCTTACACGGCACTTTTCACCCAAACCTCTCAAAAGTAATTTGTGTGGGAGGTAACGGTTATTATCTTTATGAAATATGCTGGGGAAAGGTGAACTTTGTTGTCCTTAAAAAAATAATATATATATATATATATTCCTGCATGTAAACTTCATTCCTTTAGACCACTGTAATCCGCTGCGTTACTCATCTTTGTCGTCGTCTTTGGAGTTCCTCTGCAGGACAGGGCTCAGTTTGTTTTGCAAAACCGCTGCAAGTTTTTTTGAGGTTTTTTTCAGGAAAGCGCTTCCGGGGTGAACGTTGCTGACGTGCAGGTACAGGTCCTCCTGCGTGGGGCCCGTGTAGCCGCAGTCTTCGCACACGTAAAGTTTGTCTCGCCTCTGTTTGTAGGCGTATTGCTGCTGCACACCGTGGATCTTCTTAAGGTGGGACTCCAGGGAGCAGCGCTGGGTGAAGGCTTTGTTGCAAACCTCACACTTGTAAGGTCGAATTCCTGCAATGTTAAAAGACAGCGATTACCGCCCTGATTTACGTTTCTTACGGCAAACAAAGGAACCGGCTAAGAGGAAGGCTCTGGCATGTCAGCTGTTGAGCAGATACCTAGCAGCAGGGAGCTCCTACCCCGAGGAACTATCTGTCTGAATACAACATCTTACTCTCACGCTAAAATTTTCAGGAATGTGTTGGTGTATTTAGGAATAGAAAACCTAGAAATGTTTCGAGGGGACGTAGGCGGACGTTGAGGATAACAGGTGCCCACTGGCGCTTCAGTCCCGAAGAAGCAGCCGTTATCAACCCTTGCAAAACCGACTCCTTTAGAACCCCGACTTTCTCAAGTCCTGTGATTGGGTGAAACTATCGGTTTCAGCAAACCTTTCATTTTGGCTTTTATGAGTGAAATCTTGTGTGTTGGTAAGATGTTAATTTTCCTCTTTTGGTGAGCAACGCTTAACGAGGCTTCAGTGAACGCCAGCCCAGCGTGAACATACAGCCACCACATACAGGACTTCAAACGAGCGAGAGTGTTTTCGCAGCGTGTGGATGCGATGACTGGGATTACAGCTCACGTTCCAGAGAGAAGTGCGTGGAGATGAAGGAAATGTGTATGGCTGTCTCCAGAGGGAGAAGGGGCTAGCTTGCCATTTGAATGCCCGAGCAGTTTCGTTCAGGACGGACAACTAACATTACGGAAACACTGAGCAGTAAGGAGTATCCATTTTACCACCAATGTACATCGATTTAACAACAACCCCCCACGGTACTTGAATGACAAATAGCTGAGGGTTTAGCGACACTTGAGAAAAACCTAAACCAGCTGAGATTTCACTTACTAGACTAGGTCTGTGAGCTTTCAAGCAAAGACCAGCCTTGAAGCTGACGCTAGGAGTTGCCTAAACCCCTCTCTTTTCCCAACGAAAGGCGAAAGGCGAGTGCGTGGAAGATCAGGCCCTACGGCGAGTAACAGCCCAGCAACGAAGGGCAAAGCACGCGTGTCCATACAGACGGTTGTAACTGTGTAATCGGACTGTGTTAAGTTCACCACTCCATCGCTGATTTTTCTACCAGAAACCCAAACTAATTAGAGGTTCCTATAAGCAGCATCTTGATTGCATTTTTGCCAGTCTTGTAAAAGGAGGCTATCCCAGTGTGCCAGCTTAAGCTGTCAAGACCAAAGTTTCCTAACGCCTGTTGCTGTGAGACTGCTCCAGTTACATTAAACTGCAACTGGAGAGAAACTCTGCATCTTCATTAGAATTCACACACAAAAATGTATCTTTTAGAAACAGCATTTTGGGTGCCGTGTCATGCTCACTGAAGCCGATTTAAACCTCCACCATCCTTGGCTCCTGATGCCAACAGGGACGAGTGCCAGCACAAGAGGGGCCGTGCCAAGATGGCACAGCCCATCGGGGCTGTGGGAACATCTTCAATACTTAGGAATCATTTAAAAATTTTATTTTACTGTGTGTGTTAGTTACTTTCTAATGTGTAACTGTGCTTATGCCGTGAAGCTGGACTGGGATGTTTGGCTTTCATTCTCTCCGACACCACCCTACTGCTGCACAATCTGGTTACAGACACTGCACAACGGTTTCCCCTGGAACACCGACATTCAGTAAAGCACACGTAGATGGGCTACAAAATAAAGCCCACACTACCCCTTCCAGCCCAGTTGTCTTCCTTTTGACATTCAGACATAGTCCAGCTTTCCTGAACAGCAACCAAATTTGGCATAAAAAAGGCCACGGCTTTCAGAGATGCAGTGTTTCAGCCTGGAAAAGATAAAAGCCAATACACCGTTGGTACCACTGCTGCAGCCAGCCTGCATCCCCCGCCGGGACCCGAAGCACCAGGCAAATATGATATACGTCAGTGTTCATCCTGGCTTTACACTGGGGAGGAGAAATAGCGATGCCAGATTTCTTCTAGTAAATTTGAGGACAATCTAACCACAAGATTCACATTTCTAGGACAGCAGGTTTTCACTCCTGTCCAGCACAAAGATCCTTCTTCCCTTCCAGAGTTTCGCAAAATTGGCTCCACTCCTGTATCATGAGTCCACCCCTCCCTGCCACAGCCTGCATGTATTTTTAGCTCCTGAACAGAGACCCTCTTGGATTTAGTTTCTGCATCTCACAGGATGGGGGGACAGGTTGAAAAGTCACTTTCAGAAGCACCAGCTCCGCACTGCAGCCATACCCCAGCGGCAGCTCCCTGCTCGCAGCCAGCAGCTTTCCTTTCCACATGAAAGCTTTGCAAACAAACCAAAAAGCGCGCAACACTGGCTCCAGCCGACGCTTTCCCATCGAAACAGGCAGCATTGTTTTCATGAACTCTACTGCTAAGAGACAACTCCTGCCCACCAACCTGCTTGCGTCACCTCTAGCAGTTCACCTGGTTAATGGTGCCTCAGCCAAAAAAGGGGCGTTGCAGAGCCAGCCCAAATAATCGGCAGGTCCTGCAGGTAACCACAAACCCCGAAAGTTGGAACGTGCCCCGGAGATGCGGTGGATGCACCTTCTGGGTGCCCTACAGTGAAAAGTCAAAGCCTGCTGAGCACAGCCAGCTCGGCCTGCCAGAAAGCATCACGCCAGGTGAGGATGGGGCTGGTAGGTGTTTACGCCGTTGCTTCCGCTAAGAAAAAGAAAGAGAAAGAAAAAGGTGGCCTTCTCCCTGCTCCAGGCTGGGATGAGCACTGCTGTGACCAGTGAGCTGGATTTGAGGCAACAGATCCGATTCAAAGAAACACAGCTGGTGCTATTTGGGGTGGGCTCAGGGACCCCCCCCACTGCAGAGCAGCCACAGCAAGCGCGTCCCTCCAGCCCAGGGGAGCGAGACGCCAGCAGAGAAGGGAAAGGGATGATTTTTCTTTCTTTCAGCGCCATCATGCCCTTAAATCATGGCATCCTCAGCTATCTATGCCTGTACATCTGGTGTAGGTGTAAGCAGGGAGGAGCGAGCTAGCCCAGGTTAAAGGCAACTTTTTCACTCACCCTCAACCCGGGGCAGGAACAGCTGTCGCCAGATTTTCAACCCACTGCTCCTGACTTTCAACCCGTGCTGTGACCCGCACGACAAGCGAGTAGAGACGGTTTAGACCAGTGGCCAGACTGATCTGGGTGGCTGGATGTGCAGAGGGAGATGGCTCCAACAAGATGCTGTGGGAGCTGGTAGCCTGAAGCAGGGTTCGCAGAAGTCAGGCACGCTGCCTAAGCTTCCCTAAAAAAGCTGGAGGCACAGCATGAACCACACTCTGGTTTCTCCAGACGGTGCCAAAATCAAGCCATGACCCCATCGACCGCCAGCGGGGAAGGTTCGCAAAAAAAACCCCCAAGGAACTGCTGCTCGTTGCCTCTAGAGGGCAAAGCATCTTCATCCACCGCCCGCCGGCGCTCGCTGATACACGCCGGACTCGCAATAACGTGCGGCGCGTCACCCCGGGTGGGTCATCCCGGGCGAGTCACCCCAGGTGGGTCATCCCGGGTGGGTCATCCTGGTCTTGCTGGCCCAGGCACAGCAGCATGTGGCCACATCTACACCAGATGTGGATGGCAGCTCACGTGCCCGCACGGCTTCAAACAGATTTCATTAGCTCTCCTCGGATTTCGCTAGTCCCAGGACTTCCACCTGTCCACACTCATGTCATTCGTTCCCTTTCCTCCACCATATCCCCGCTATTTTTTGCACAAGTTGTTTACCCGGGTTTCATATTATTGTCCTGCTGGGCTACCCTCACCCTTGTCCCGCCTCACCCCTGCTCCCACCTCCTGCTGCCCAGAGGCGCCCCCCAGCCTCCAGGGAACGCGTGCTCACCGGTATGGGTCCGGACATGTCTTTTCAGATCAAAGGTGTCGTTGAAGCCCTTTCCGCAGAAGGTGCACAAGTGTCTCTTCACCTGGCTGTGACACTTGATGTGGCGGTTGAGCATCCGCTGCAAGCGAAAGCCTTTGCCGCACAGCTCGCAGCTATGCACCGTAGCGTCGTTACAGGTGCCCGTGGTGAACTATGGAATGGAAGAGGGCTGAGTGAGCAGGCATCGATATGACAAAGATTAACGCAAAACAAACAAAACGAGGAGGCACGGCTCATTGTTGTGTTAAAAAAATGCTTGGGATATATTCAAAATGAAAAGTGAAAGCATTCAGGAGATGCTCGCCGGGCGAAACCTTCACGCTTCCCTTGCGGTCGGGTGGGTGACCGTTAACGTGGGCGGCTCGGGGCTGCGGCAGGCGTTGGACAGCTTGGCTTCAGGGGCTAGCACAAAGCCTGTGCGCTGGACGCCTCCCAGAGGCAGGGACCCCCGGCCAGCGACACCCGCAAGCAGGCGGGCTGAGGCTACGAGCACCTCCCCCGGGGGGCCGCAGGTGCGTTTGCTCCTGCACGCAGCTCGTTATCCTGGCCGGAGGCGGGAGGCCCTCCCTGGCATCAGAAAGTCGTACCCACGCGGTGCCTGCGCGAACCACGCTTCCAGCTGCTACGGGTCCTGGGTAGGCGTGACCTGGATAGGCTGGAAAGCTGGGCAGAGAGGAACCTGATGAGGTTCAACAAGGGGGTGGGCATGGACATGGCAGATTTTTTTGCACCCCTCCAGGGAAACCAGCATGCTCAAGTTCCTCCCTGAAATGTCTGTACACCAATGCACGCAACATGGGCAATAAGCAGGAAGGATTAGAAATCTGTGTGCAATCACAGGGCCATGGTCTCACTGCAATTACAGAGACATGGTGGGACAACTCGTATGACTGGAGTGCCGTCATAGATGGCTACACAGTCGTTAGGAAAGACAGGCCAACAAGGCAAGGTGGTGGAGTTGCTCTGTATATGAGGGAGTAACCGGAATGTATCAAGCCCTGCCTGAGGGTGGATGAAGAACGAGTCGAGAGCTTATGGGTAAGAATTAAGCGACAGGATACCTTATAAATGCCTACAAATATCTGCAGGGTGGGTGTCAGGAGGATGGGGCCAAGCTCTTTTCAGTGGTGCCCAGTGACAGGACAAGGGGCAATGGGCACAAACTGAGGCACAGGAAGTTCCGTCTGAACATGAGGAGGAACTTCTTCCCTCTGAGGGTGACGGAGCACTGGAACAGGCTGCCCAGGGAGGTTGTGGAGTCTCCTTCTCTGGAGATATTCAAGACCCGCCTGGACGGGGTCCTGTGCGGCCTGCTGTAGGTGACCCTGCTTCAGCAGGGGGGTTGGACTAGATGACCCACAGAGGTCCCTTCCAACCCCTACTATTCTGTGATTCTGTGATTCTGTGGGTCCCTCAAAAACCAGCCAGCAGTGCAAAAAAAAGGTAGGTTTGGCAAGATAAACCAAGGCACATTGTGCTGACTCAGCAGAGACCGAAACAATGGCACTGATCTCCTCCCGTTGGTCTCCCTGGCTTGCTAATTAACGGCAGATTGTCATTAGGGGTGAATCTCCTCA